ACTGTTGTCCCACCAGGAGGGTGGAAATGGGGGTCTCATCCTGGCTGGGGAATGAGGAGATCAGTCCCCCCAGCAGGTGTGTGAATACCGCTGTGACCCTTGCTGGGGGGACATGCCAGACCCAGCTGGACCCGCTGCACCCTGCCCTTTCCCCATCCCAGCCCAGATTCCCACCCTGCCAGCGAGGCCCCGCGGTTGGGCAGGAGGACAACTGAGCAAACTAAGTGCAGTTGCTTAATAACCTGCTCACAGCCCTTCGCTGGCCTTGCGGGGTTAATGGGTAAAGAGGTCCGTTGTTGCCAGCCAAGGCAGAAGCTGGGCTGTCACTCACGCCCGGGAGCTTGTGCTCTGCATTTTAATGCCAGCGTTGGTCCCACCACTGCTGGAGGGCTGCTGCCAGGCCTGGGCATCACGCTGTGCCATGGAGTCAAGCTGAGGCAGAGCTGCTGCCTCTCGGGGCCCAGCTCCGTGAGCCGCGCTTGCTTCAGTTAGGGTCTGGGGCTGGACCTGCTGGGGATTTGCCCTCGTGGCTATACACAAGGGAAAGTAGCTGAGAGGTAACATAACACTCTTTAAAAACTCAAGTCTGTGAGTACAAACACTTCACTGCCTTTGAAATTAAACATCAGTTTTAGGAGGACACCCTTCTGTCCATGAGAGCATTTGGCAGCATTTCCTAGAAGCACCAATACTCACAGATACACGGGATCACGAGGGAAAGGCACTGCTCCTGTTGCTGATCCAGTTTAGTCCATGTGTAGGTTCACCATGTCCCCGAGTGTCTGGCCAGGCACAGGAGAGCTGGGTGGGGGGAGCCCAGGGGAGGCGGTGATGGGAGAGTATCAGAAATGATCAAAGCGCTGTAATTAATGTACTGGTCTTACATCAGCGGGGAAGCCTGATGGGTGTCTCTTTTACTCACCCCATGCGTCCCAGCCCATGGCTGGTCCCTCTGTGTTTCCAGGGAGGATGTGGGATGGGAGCAGGCAGCACGCAGGGACACAGGGTGGAGGCACCCAGCCCTGCTGCTGTCCAACAAACTCCCCTCTCTCCTGGCAGGTGACATTGGACGCAGCAGGAGGATGGCAAACTCAGTGCAGGGCGATGGGGGCCTCCCCAGTGCGGAGCTCTGGGCCTCCCACAACAAGATGCTGGTGGAGCCGCTCGACAGCAACGACCCAGAGGTGAGAGCCCTGTCCTGACCCCTCCCCAGCAGCTGCTTCATTCATCCCCGGGCAGCTGTGGGGATGCTGACCGCCTCGAGCCAGAGATGTGTCAGGGAGATGGTCCAAGGCCGAGCTGGTGGGACCCATCCACCCTCTGTGCACTCTGGTTGCAGCAAGAGGTGGAGAGGGAGGGCATCCTCCAACCGTGTGCCCATAACATGGTTGGAACTTTGCATCTATTGCTCGTACCCCTCTGCCTGAAGCTCTGATACCCACACCAGCACAGCCGGCCCCCCCAGGCCATTTGGCAGTTGCCCTTGACTCTCTAGCCCAAGTGACAGCTGAATTACCTGGCAGCTTCCTGACAGGTAGAAACCCAAAACAAGGCCTGTGACTGGACATATGAACTGTGTGGGATCAGCTGTACCAAGAAGGGATTTCCTCTCCCTTCTCCAGCACCTTTCCAGGCCCCTCTCCCTGCCCTGTCCCCTCCGGGGGTGCATCCCTGATGGCGGAGCATCCACGTCTCCATGCAGAGCCAGCGCGGGTGAAGCTGTTTCTCTCCCCTCCCAAAGGTGCACAGCATCATCAAGAAGGAGAAGCAGCGGCAGAGGCTGGGGCTGGAGTTAATCGCATCAGAGAACTTTGCAAGCCGAGCGGTCCTCGAGGCCCTGGGATCCTGCATGAACAACAAATACTCCGAGGGCTACCCAGGGCAGAGGTACGGGGCTGGAGCAGAGTCCCCCCAACACAAAACCTCGCAGAGAGGGAGGGGGACCACCAGACCTCACCTCTGGGAAGGAAGCGATGTCCTGGTGCTGGCAGCCAAGCTCCTCCAGGGCAGGATCTGACCCTCTCGGCTTCTGTCCTTGGCCACGCACGGGACAATCTCAGCAGGGTCACATCTGCTACGGTGGCTGCCGCAACCATGGCATCACTGGGTGCTCCACAGCTTGGTCACAGGGCTTGGTTTAACCCCTGCCCCATCTTTTACCCGCAGGTACTATGGTGGGACAGAGTTCGTAGATGAGATGGAAAGGCTCTGCCAGAAGCGAGCTCTGCAGGCATACGGGCTCAACCCCCAGAAGTGGGGTGTCAATGTCCAGCCCTACTCAGGTAATGAGGCGCTCAGGAGAGCCAGGATGGCTGCACCACCTCTGCTCATCCCAGCACCTGTAACTGGCCTGGTGTGCTCTCCCTGCAGGGTCACCTGCGAACTTTGCGGTGTACACGGCCCTGGTGGAGCCCCACGGCAGGATCATGGGGCTGGACCTGCCCGACGGGGGCCACCTCACCCACGGGTTCATGACGGACAAGAAGAAGATCTCTGCCACCTCCGTCTTCTTCGAGTCCATGCCCTACAAGGTACAGAGAGCTGCTCCAGCTGGAACCAGGATGTGGTCGTCATAAGCGTTTGTGCCTCTTCATAGCACCGATGTCAGGCTCCCAGCACCCCCTCCTGCGGGGTGACACTGCCGCAGATCTTCACCCTAACCAAGGTGGCTGAACCCTCCTCTTCCTCTCCCAGGTCAACCCCAAGACCGGTTACATCGACTACGACCGGCTGGAGGAGAACGCCCGCCTTTTCCACCCCAAGCTGATCATAGCAGGTCAGGATCAAACCCTTACCCACCTCTGACCCCCCGGGGGAGGCGGTGGCTCCTCGCATGCTGGTAAGCCCAGAGGCACCCACAGATGCTGCAGTGCCAGGAGGAGACCTCCAACACCTCCATGCTGGTGGAAGCTCGCGTGCTGTCCTAGCTGGGCTGTCCCCATTGCAGGGCTGGACCCAGGGTGTCCCAGGGTGCTCACACATCTGCTCCTGTCCCCTCCAAATGTCATCTCCCTGCAGGTGTCAGCTGCTACTCGCGCAACCTGGACTATGCCCGCATGCGGAAGATCGCCGACGCCAACGGAGCCTATCTCATGGCTGACATGGCCCACATCAGCGGGCGTGGCTGCCGGCGTGGTGCCCTCCCCTTTCGACCACTGCGACGTCGTCTCCACCACCACCCACAAGACCTTGCGGGGCTGCAGGGCTGGGATGATCTTCTACCGTAAAGGTGCCCGCCCTGTCCGGGAAACTGGGAGAAATGCTCCTCCCAGGCTGAGGGGGCTGCAAGTTAAAGCTCCTTCCTGCTCCAGCTGGGAAGGAGAGAGGGCAGGAAGGTCCAGGGCCTCCTGGGGGCATCTGGGGAGCTTCCCAGGGCCAACCGTGTCCCAGATTTGAGGAGGAACAACCACATTCCCAGCTCTAAGAGGCCAGGGGGTGAAAGCAGCTCGTGGGAGATGGGAGGTTGAGCTGCCTCGTGAGAAACTCTGCCCCTCCCGCAGGCACCCGCAGCGTGGACCCCAAGACGGGCAAGGAAACACTCTACAACCTGGAGAGCCTCATCAACCAGGCGGTGTTCCCCGGGCTGCAGGGCGGACCGCACAACCACGCCATCGCAGGTACGCATCCAGGCTGGCTGCGAGCGCCGGGATGGCAAAGGGAGCTGGCAGAGTTGTCCTGGCTGGGCTCTGCCCCCCCAGCACACAGCCTGGAGATACGGCAGCAAGGAGCAGCCGGTGTGGTCCAGCATTGCCCGAGGAACGACCAGGTTTTTCCCATCCTGCTTTTTGGCTCATGGCAGTGTCACCATGTCACCAGCCTGGTTAGGGGAAGGGACCCTCCCTCAGTTTGCTCAGCTGCCAGGATGACTTCTGGCAGTGCTACACGTCCCCACCAGCCCCCCAAACCTCAGCTGGGTCTCCCTTCCTCCCCAGGCATCGCGGTGGCACTGCGGCAGGCCATGACGCCCGAGTTCAAGGCTTACCAGCAGCAGGTGGTCGCGAACTGCAAGGCATTGTCGGCGGCGCTGATGGAGCTGGGCTACGACATCGTCACGGG